ATTATTATTATTAAGAAAGAAAAAACGGGAAGGAGGGAAGGAAGTAAAGAGGGAAGGAAGAAAGGAGAGAAAGAAAGAAGGAAAAGAGGGAGGGAGGGAAGGTTGGTCACAGCAACTCATGGCAGGTATAATAGAATATATATATACAAACATTTCTTGGGGCTCCACAAGAAATTTTTGTTTCATAAAGGGTTCTGTGGCTGAAAAAGTTTGAGAATACCTGTTCTGTACCAACAACATCCTTTAGTGACCCCAGGCGAAGGGGTGGCTTTTGCCACAGGAAGCAGTTTTCCTTTAGGAAATGTCTTACCTGAATGGCATCACTAGACAAGCCACAAGGAAATCAGCCATAGCCAAGGACATGATGAACATGTAGGTGACAGTCCGGAGCCTCTTTTCCATCAGTGGGCAGATAAATACCACCGTGTTGCCCAGAAGAGTCAGCAAATCAATGATTGTGAGTATCAATCCAACAGCTACTTCTTGGAATCCAATTCCGGCTTCTGTCTGGTTCCTACTTCCTTTTACCATGCAGAAGGTTGCAGAACAGACATTGGGTAGTAAAGATATATTGATATTTGCAGTCATCTTCTCCACTGTTATGGCTTAAGGCAGAGGAAATAAAGCAAATTTTCCAAAGTTGTAGAAAAGGGGAGGACACTGCTTTATTCACTAATAGAGGTGACTCACTTAACTGAGAAGCCTGCCATCATTAAGTCATTATTATCTATTCATAGCAACTACCTACAATACTGTGACTATAAGTGCTCAGAGATTTTCCTCGTAAGTGAAACATTTCATTCATTGGGTAAAGAAAAGGGGTGAGAGATCACAGAAAACACAAAGGTCGTGCAATAAAAGTTTGCCTTGACTCTGGTCTATAGCCACACATTGCTCATCGTCTCTCTTCATTTGCTGAGCACTTTTCTCATCAAGATGGATGAGTTCTTTAATGCTTCTGCTAATGCAGCCTTCCAATGCTGCTGGATTGTAAATCCCATCATCTCAAGACAGCGGAATACTAGGTGTTGCAGCCCAACAAGATTTTAGGGGCCACACTTTGTCCATCCTGACTCTGGATGTCCCAATTCCAGAAGATAGAAATAGTTTTGGGTTTTTGTTTTTTTGTTTTTTGTCATGTCAGGAGTGACTTGAGAAACTGCAAGTCACTTCTGGTGTGACAGAATTGGCCATCTGCAAGGACGTTGCCCAGGGGACGCATGGATGATTTGATGTTTTTATCATCCTCGTGGGAGGCTTCTCTCATGTCCTCGCATGAGGAGCTAGAGCTGATAGAGGGAGCTCATCCGCCTCTCCCCAGATTCGAACCTGCAACCTGTCGGTCTTCAGTCCTGCCGGCACAGGGCTTTAACCCACTGCGCCACCGGGGGCAGAAATGGCAAACAACACACAATGCCAGAAAGACAGTTACAAAGTATATTTTGTGGATATTGAAAACAGGGTGACAAAAGGTTTCAACACTAACTTCCCCACCTTGGTATTGATACTGTTTGTTCACTTAGTTGTTACCACTTGAGAAATTCACATACCCCCTCAATGTGTTGAATAATATAACCCCATGATAATAATATAATAATAATAATAATAATAATAATAATAATAATAATAAACTTTATTTCTACCCCGCTACCATCTCCCCAATGGGGACTTGGTGCGGCTTACATGGGGCCAAGCCCGCACAACATAATACAGCAATAAAATCGAAGCACATACATCAGACAACAACATTATCAAAATGACATCTTGTGGTGCCAGAGCGCAGTCTGTTCAGCGCCTTCCAAGTTGCCCAGTTTTCTGTGTGCCCAGGGGGGAGTCTCTCATTTGGTATCAGCCATTGGTTGAGGTTCTGGGTTTGAGCCTGCCACTTTTGGACTCTCGCTTGCTGAGGTGTTCCCGTAGTGTCTCTGTAGATCTTAGAAAACTATTTCTAGATTTAAGTCGTTGACGTGCTGGTTGATACCCAAACAGTAGGCCTGGGCGGTTTCGTTCGTTAATTTTGTAATTCGTTAAATATTCGTTATTTTTAGCAATTAC